GGCCCGAGGCCCGCGGCGGGGCCCGCGGCGCGCTGGCGCTGCTAGCGCTGGCCCTGTGCGCGCTCGGGACCCGGGGACCGGAGACCGGGGCCGGGCGCTCGAGTGGTACTCGGCCATGGTGAGCACCGAGTACGTGGACCCGTAGGTCAACCAGAGCGTGTGGAGCGCCTCAGAGAGCGGCCGCTTCGGCGAGAGCTCGCCCAAGGAGGGCGCGCGGGGCCTGGTGGGCGTCCCGCACGCCGAGGACCGCGACCCCGAGGGCTGCGCGTCCTGCACGCGCTTCCTCGTGCCCCGCGGCCTGGGGGGCCGCGCCCTGGGTGGCGCTGGTGGCTCGCGGGGGCTGCACCTTCAAGAACAAGGTGTTGGCGGCAGCGCGGTGGAACGCCTCGGCCGTGGTCCCGTACAACGAGGAGCGCCACGGGAACCTCACCGCGCCCTTGTCCCACGCGGGAACAGGAAATATAGTAGTCATTATGGTTAGCGACCCCAAAGGAAGAGAAATTGTGTATCTGGTGCAGAAAGACATTCCGGTCACAATGACCATAGGGCTCGGCACACGGCACGTACAGGAGTTCATCAGCGGTCAGTCCGTGGTGTTTGTGGCCATCGCCTTCATCACCATGATGATTATCTCATTAGCCTGGCTAATATTTTACTATATACAGCGCTTCCTATACACTGGCTCACAGTTTGGAAGTCAGAGCCATAGAAAAGAAACAAAGAAACTTATTGGGCAGCTTGCTCTTCATACTGTAAAGCATGGAGAAAAGGGAATTGATGTTGATGTTGAAAGTTGTGCAGTGTGGATTGAAAATTTTAAAGGATGTTATCAGAATCCTGCCATGCAAGCATATTTTTTATAGAATATGCATTGACCCATGGCTTTTGGATCACCGAACATGTCCAATGTGTAAACTTGATGTCATCAAAGCCCTGGGATATTGGGGAGAGCTTGAGGACGTGCAGGAGACGCCCGCCCCAGAATCTCCCCCCAGGGGCGTTTCGACTGCAGATCTGAGTCCCCACTTCGGGTAGAAGAAATTTAGTGAAGTTCAGGAAATAAGATGACTATATTTGCTAAATTTGTCATGTGCAAACTTATTATAGTTGTTCATATTTTAAAAAATCATCAAAATCTTTTTCTTTTATATCTGGTTTTAAAATTATTCCGTAGCTCAACTTTGATGTTCTTTTAAAATCCACAGGAATTCAATGTAGACTTTTCTATGACAAAATTCAGTTTGTACTTTCTATCTTAATTGTAAGTTAATGAATATCTAGCATCCAACTTTATCATTTTATTTTTGGCATTATCTCTTTCAGTACAGTGGAGAATTTACAGTCTCTCTCAGCGATGTCTTATTGACCTGGAAATACTTACTACATGAGAAATTGAACTTACCAGTTGAAAATATGAAAATGATTGACCATTATGAGAACATTAGGAAGATTTATAATGATTTCTTAAAGAATAGTAACATGTTAGATATGATCGATGTTTATAAAAAATGTAATGTTTTGACTTCTAATTATGAAAATTATGCCAACATATCTCCTGTAAGTATTTTTAAAATAATTTTATCTTAATCAAATTAAAATTTGGCTAGATTTATTTTTACTTTAAATGATGGATCAGCATTTATAATAACTTGATAATGCTTTTGCTTTTTGGATCATGTTAAGAATGGAAAATTTAGCTACTTGAAAGCTAGTCATTACTGGAGAGAAATATTTTGGTGGTGAATTTTGTTGAATTTGTGTTATTATTTGGTTGAAATATAAGGATAGCTACTTATCAGATCAAAACATTTTTAATCAGTACCAAGTATGTGATTTCTTTTTGAATTATGTCAGGGATTGATTTTGTATTTTATTTTCTTGGTTTAATGTGCATCTGTTCATTTGGCATATATTGTATAAATGATTGCTATGACTTTTTCTATGGATTAGTAATAGTTTTTACTAAGATAGGGTATCATTTCATGAGGATAGTATGATGCAATATACATGAGGTAATACACTATTCCTTTTTTTTTGCAGACACATTCATTGCCTTATTTTTTTATAGAGTATACATTTTAAAGTTAATGGAGTAGCATCCCTTGCAGTTTTGTTTTGTCTACATTATAGTTGATAAACTGTTTTAGAATATATTTGAATATATCTAGTTTGTTTTAAAGTATTGAAAATATATTTCTTTATCTTAACATATACCAAGTGCCACTAAAGTAGTAATTAAGCAGGGTAATAAAAGAATAATTGCAGCTATAACTAGAAGAAAATGTTTACTGGATTTTCTCAGATATTAAAATAGTTTATAAATATTACTATCTGATACTTGGGAATAATGTTTTGTCTGCTTAGAATAGAAACCACAGTAACGGTTGTTTAAGACAATGGAAGTTTGTTTCATTCTTTTATAAAAGATGTCGGGCTTCCCAGGTGGCGCAGTGGTTGAGAGTCCGCCTGCCGATGCAG